TAGGAGAAATTTTCTCTTATTCCAGAGACAGTCAGCCTTTTTCTATTCAGGCCTTCAGCTGATTGGATGACATCCACCCACATCATTGATGACAATTTTCTTTACTCAGTCTCTCAATTCAAATGTTAATCCCATCCAAAACACGTTCTCAGAAACACTCAGAATAATGTTTGTTCAAATATCTGGGCACCCAGTGGCCCAGTCAAGTTGAAACATAAACATATTCCCTGTCTTATTTATTATAGCCATTCTAATGAATGTGAAGTGATATCTCATTGTGGTTTTTGTTTACATTTCCCTAATGACTAATGGTATTGAGTACATTTTCATGTGCTTAATGGCCATTTGCCTATCTTCTTTGGTGAAAGATCAGTTTATATGTTTGCTCATTTATTTTAATTTGAGTTGTTTGTCTTCTTCTTATTGAGCCTAATGTGTTTTGCGATTAATTCTTTTCTGGTGAGCTCATATTTATTGACACTTTTTATGTGGGAGCTTTGGGGGTCAGGTTGAGGGGGAAGCCCAGAGGTAGTACAGACATTAGTCCACTTTCAGTCAAATTCTCCCTGTAGTTTCTAGGCCGAACAGGTAATGTAATTTTCTGCTTTTAATTTTGATGTGGCTCTGGTGACCTTATTTTCTTAACAACAACAACAACAACAACAACAACAACAACAAATCAGGATACATGGTCAGAATGGAAGTACTTGTGGGAACCAAGGACAAGAGTATTTAATGACATGACTGCCTGGGAAATCCAAATTGTATATAGTGACAGGACCATCCTTGCCCTGAGCTTTAGAGCCCAGCAGGGCCTAGCAGACAGAACATGATGTTATGAAAGTATCATCTATAATTTAATTTTAAATACTTTAAATAGCATGATATGTGTATGCTATTTTCAATTGATATTTTAGGGACCATTAATTAACAATTGACATGCCCTGGTGAGAACTATAAACTCTAGGAGAGGTTGATTAGCTGTCGGAAGATTCTAAACAGATGTCCACACTTTAGAGAGCTTCAAGCATCTTTATCTCCAATTACCACTGAGACTATACAGATTTTCCTAAGGTGAAATAAATAGTATTTGTGATGTATGAACTGTCTACGAATACTCTACAGAGGCCATTTACTCTTGCATAACAGAATATAGAAATCTAGGGAACCTAATGAGTATACCCTTTGTAATGGTGCTCTGGTTTAGATTACAAAATCAACAGCTTTAGAAAATTATCTGAGGATTGCTATTGTGAAGATCTGCTGAATCTTCCCGTTAAAATACTTCTTGAGTATGGGATGAATCTTTTATAAAAGATTTAGTGAGAGTATACTGGAGGGCAACTGAATCCGAGGCACATTCTGCCTGTGCTGCTCAGCAAATAGGCTGACACAGGAGTTGGCTATTTAGAATAAGTGTTTATTGTCAAAACACCAGTGATCTGAGAAGGCAGTAGGTTAACACCTTCAAAAACTGCCTTGCCTTCTCAGTCGGGCTTAAGGTATTTGAGGGGAAATCTGGGCATTATTCCAGGGACTACGTGATGGTTCCATGGAGTCTGTTGTGCTTCATGGGAGATGTTCCTCTGGCAACATGGTCCTCTGGTGGCATTAGCAACCCAGGAGCAAAGATGGGAGTAGTTTGGAAAGAATGCTAGACCAGAATTACGATCAGTAAGCATGAGGGCATTCATCATAAGTTTCAGGGCAACTTTTTATGGCAGGAGATGTTCTAAGCTCTGGGGACAATCTATTGTTAAGCCATAGGACATGGAAAAGTGAAGCCAGGGATGCTGTGAGGCCTCTACTACAGGGGTCCCAACTGGGCTCTTCTTCAAGAGTACCTATAAGGACAGGGAGCTGGGACTTTATCGTTACAGAACAGTTGTATATCTTTTTGAGTGCACTTGCTACTAAATGTTTGGAAGGGCAACAAAATAATTCTGTCTATATGTTACGATAACATAACATTGTAACATTGTAAGTTGGAAAGGTCGTAGGGGTCGAAGAACTTATAATATAATGTTAAACAAATAACATCTACAAAGAGCTAAGGGGTATCCTGTCAATAGATCCTGTTTTGGAAATCTTCCTGCTCCATTAATTTTCAGTCTATCCTGATTTGGGAAAGAGAAGAGTGTTCTTGAAAGAATGGATTAAAACAGATATGAGATATCTCAGGCTTGGAAAAGACTTCTTTTATCTTTTTCCACACAAAGCATTTGCACGTCTCTAAGGCATCAGCCAAGATCTTTCAAAGCTTGACCCCAACCACTTCAAAAAAACGGATTGGGGGGAGGGGGTTGCCTGTTACTGCCAAAATGGTTGGGTGAAAATATTTTGTAATTGCAGAATTAACCATCAATAGTTTTATATAGTTTGAAGAAAGCTCTTCCTGGCTCACAGATTCAGGCATCAACAAATAGGCAATTTATAGGCAACATTTATTACAGGCAATCTTCTCGTGTTAAGTATTTTACATACATCATCTTATGAATGTATGTACATTTCTATACAATCCTATGGATGCTTTAATTCCTATTTTATATGTATAAGGAAAGTGAGGCTCAGAGATCACATATTTAGTCTTTTGAATGTAAACAGAACCTTATACTTTCCTATTCACCACCTATATCTCTATATTGTCTAACCGGGAAGGGTGAGCCAAGCCAATTTCAACATGAGCCTGTAAGCTAAATCTGTTTACAGGAGTTGCCCACATAAAGGAGTCAGGATTTTTTAAAATGTGACCCTTGAATGCTTAGATTCCTGCCTAATATCTGGACCCCCATTTCCAGCGCCCCTTTGGAACGAACCTCCCTGTAGAGCAAGGCTGCTAGAAAGGGAGAGGTTCTTTTTGTAAGGGAGCCAATGAAATGGTTGGATATTGTGAGCGGCACGTCATTTAGCCAATGGGCTCAGGCGCTGAGGTCCCGCCAGAGGATAGGAAATTGGAGTCTGACCATGTGGGTCTTTGGGCGTGGCGGGTGCGTTGAACGCTGAGTTCTCTGGAGGCTCGCAAAGCCAGCTGAGGGGTCGGGCTCTGGTGAGTGGACTGGGCGGAGGTGTGGAAGGCCAGAGAGGCCGAGGTCGCTCTCCTGAAGGCTGGTGGGCTTTCACGCAAGCTCGTGGTGGTGAGCGGGGTCCCTCCAGGCCCTCTGCGGACTTCCCCTCCCCCCACCAGGCGCAAGGGGCTCTGGGCCCCGGCTGGGGCGGGAAGTCGTTATTTGAGGCTGAGTGTGTAGGAGAAGGCGGGACCTTGAAAAGGTGGGACGGTGGTAGCTGCAGGGGAGGGGGAACTCACGCGGGGTTTGATTGGACGTGAGTGTTATTTGTACCGAAAGGGTGGGCAGGGCATCCCGGTTTGGGGAATGGTACATTTTCTGGGATGGAAGGAGGGGAAGATTTGCCTTTGGAAGCCTCCCTTCCTGTTAGGCCCCAGTCCTATTGCCCCAGCCTGGAGCTTGCTCCTGGAGGTGGGGAAGGTAGGCCTCGCCTGTCCTGGGACCTTTCCCTTTTCCCTGTTGGACCTGTGGTCAACTATCTGCTAACTTTCTAAGGAGAAAATCTACATGAAGAGAGGGCCTCCTGGAGGAGGTGCCCAACTCTGTAGATAATGGAGGTGAGGGAAGGGTGGACAAAGAGGAGGATTCCAGAAATCCTGTAACGGGTAGGTGTTATAGCACCTCGCAGTGTGTACTAGTTAAGCAACTGATTGTTCTGGATTCTTCGGGTGGTGTTGGGAAGGTGTGAGCAAAGAGGCCAGGCTAACTGGGATGGAGTTTAAGCAATTAGAACTGTTGTAGTGTTTGAGGAAGGAAGGCATATCCTGCTATTTTAGTGTTAAAAAGTTTAATTAAAATTTTGTCAGATTCTGAACTACCTCCACCTAGAATATTGATTTAGGAATTATGTGTCAGTCTTTTTTTTTTGTGCGCATGGCCTGATTTCTCTGTAGCTAATACTTAAGATAGGTTTGTGAAAGTTAAGAGGCTTGTTTAACTTTTCAGCTATAAATGATTTTTCGGAGATTCAGGGTGGGTCAGGATAATGGAGGGGGCCTATTAAAAGAGTCCTGAAATCTATAGGTTATAAAGTGATTTTGGAGAGGCCTAGTGGACCTGAGATATGGGGAGCAGGAAGAGCCTCATCCCTAGTTACCCTGGCAGGTAATTACAAGGAGAGAAAAAGATATAAAATGTCACCTGAGATTCAGCAGCTATTGTAGGCTCAAATCAAAAAAGGTCTGTACCCTGCAGACCTCAGTTCTGGTGAAGTTTGAAGTTTTATATAGAGGAGTTGGGTAAAGATGCCACTAAGGAGATCAAAGAGGAGATGGAATAGTATAATGTGATAATGGGCTGGAAAAAAATTAGGACTCTGGTAAAGGAAAGAGGACCAAAAAAACCACACCCAACCTATAAATATTTATTGACAGAATAATTTTGTAATTATTAGGGGCAGAGATGCCACTAAGGAGATCAAAGAGGAGATGGAATAGTATAATGTGATAATGGGCTGGAAAAAAATTAGGACTCTGGTAAAGGAAAGAGGACCAAAAAAACCACACCCAACCTATAAATATTTATTGACAGAATAATTTTGTAATATGGCTGTGTTAACTATAAGCTTTTTTATGCTCATACATAAAAAATACTTCCTTCTACGACAGGTAGTTAACATTAAGACTGGGTTCTCTGAGAGTCTGGGTAGAAAATATAGGAAAATTCAAGGATGGGTTGGCAGCTAAGGGATTGCTAATGGAGAACATTTAGAATATTCTGGGCTAAATAGATGCTTTTGAAGTGAACATGGTATAGAAGGCTGGTTGTATCACTGGTCTGACCTAAAGTAAGTTTTTTCATTTGTTTGTTTGTTTAATGCTTTGTGAGTCTGTCTTGAAGGAAAAGGAAAACAATTAGGACTCTTTCATCTTTATAAAATGCTGGCAGGTAATTAACCAGAACAGAATCGACAACCGTGCCTACTGCAGCCTTTCAATGGATCCTGTTCGACCACCCTTCAGGGGCCCTTCTCCTGGGCACCCATCTCAGTATGTACGGATGCCAGGGTCTTGGATACATGCTCCTAAACCTTTGGACTCAGCTTTGGGCAGGGCAAGGCCTGTGGGCAGAGGCCATGTATTTGGAAAGCCAGAGGAACCCAGCCCACAGAGTGGGCCAGCACAAAGGGTAAGACCACGTCTGGATGCATAGTAGTGGCATATAGCTTATCAGAGAAAATAATGGGTTTCAAAATGCTTAGAAGCGTCAAGTCCTGGGTGAAAACAAGGATTGGTTGTTGGTTGGTATTTTTTTGTTTTGGGGTTTTCTTTTCATTGTTCTTTTTGTTTTGGTTTTTCCTTTGACAAATAGTTCCATCTTCTGGGCATATATTTCAAATCCTAGAGTTGAGAATCTAGATAAAGTGCCTTATAATGAATGCTAGATGGACTTGGGTAAATGCCTTAGTTCTCTAGCTTATACAAAAATAAATACATAAATGGTAGATTTAAATATAGGTCACATTTTGGAATGACTTTATTCTTTGACTTTCCATAGGAACCTATGGGTTTGGTCTCCATGTTCCGAGGACTGGGCCTTGAAACAGCGTCACGGACTCCTCCGAAATGGGAAATGCCTTCTTTAGGTATGTGGAAAACTAACTTAAGAAAACATAATGGTATGTATGATTGCTTTTTTCTTAAATTCACACAGTTTATCTTCAGAAAAATAACTGTGCTTTATAACATGTTCAACTCAGTTAAAGCTGGGGTTTGATTATTTATTTAGGTAGAGGCATTTTAGGTCGAGGTTTGTCTACCAGTGTGTTGCACAAGGACAAAGAAGAATCCCGTCCCACTTTTCCGGATCCATCATTGTTGGCAGCTGGGGATAGCAAGATGGCAGAGGCCTCCATTGGTTGGAATAGGTGGGTAAAGTTGCCTTCTCAGGGAACTGTCAGATTCAGATGAAATAAAAAGGTTGTTATTATCTCACAAACAAATAATGTGTGGTTTTATATAAAACAATGGATACTTTCTAGGAATAGTCAGGAGCTATTGATCCAGTCAGTCGTTGGAAAAGGGTTAAAAAGTAGCTCTCCACTGGGCAGTTCACAACTTCATTTGCCCTCTTAAGTTAACCTGATCGTAGTGGTCCTTTAAGTGAATCAAACTCCACCTCAATTATGACATGGAAGTTGGCTCTGAGAGTCAGTATTAGTATGAATTGGTGAGTCATGTTGGCATATTGGACTTGTAGAGCAGTGGTCCCCAACCTTTTTGGCACCAGGGACAGGTGCTCCTATGAGAATCTAGTGTCTGATGATCTGAGGTGGGGCTGAGGCAGTGATGCTAGCACTGGGGAGCGGCTGCAAATACAGATGAAGCTTTGCTTGCTTGCCACTCACCTCCTGCTGTGCGGCCCGGTTCTCAATAGGCCACTAACTGGTTCGGTCTGCGGCCCTGGACTTAGGGACCCCTGTTGTAGAGAATCCTGAGGCTTAGGTCCCTCCTGCTGACTTCTCCAGGAAGAGAATGTAGACTTGGAGAATCATTTGCATGGAGCGGACATAGAAGCATGATTAAGAAATTCCTGATTTGCTCTTTTCAACATTTCAGAATGCTTGGAAGAGGAAATTCAGATACAACTATATTACCATTGGGAAGAGCAGCTGGTGGTATAGGCAGAGGCGTGTACAAGGCTCCCGGTGCTGTAAGCATGACTTCTCGGGGTCCTTCCCAGCAGCCGTCACCGCCACCTCTGCCGTTGTCATCATTGCACTCTCTGGATCGGCTTCCACTGGGGACTGCAGAACACAAGGAAAAGTAAGCCAGGAGCTGGCCTTCTCTGCTTGGGAGTGATGTGAGAGGGGGCCTTCTCATAGTATTGTAAACGCTATTTCTCTTAGAGCTGAAGTCCTCTGCGGGTGGTCGGTACTGTGGGGTTGTTCATTTTGTTTTTTGCTTGTTGGGAGAATGGCAAAGAGGTGGGACATTCCTGATGAAGTGAAAATGACGTTAATATAGATAGAGTGTACCAGAGAGTAGACTCATGACTTTTCATTTCATTCCCAATTCAGACATAGACAATTCTTTGTCATGTTGAAGATAAGGAAATTATTTAGGAAAAATACTGCAGGAGTTAATTTTTCTCTATAGAATTAATTCTTGTGTTCTTAGTTGGCCTAGTTTAGTGATATTACTAGAACAAATGGGGTGACCTTGCTTTTTTATTAGAGATTGCTATTCATTTGTCTACTAGCCTTTAAAGCTTACATTGGTGTGTCTCAGTTCTTGCTTTGTGTATCTGTAAGCAAAGGGTGAAATATTACTTTTTTTTTTTAAATTTTGTGGTGTGGGTTATTTGAGTTTTTGGTTTTGGTATGTGTAGGTGCTTTCGTTTTTATATTTTCCAGAGAGCGTCTTGTGAAGCAAGGATCAAAAGGAATACCTCAATCTTTGGGATTGAATCTTATCAAAATACAGTGTCATAATGAAGCAGTTTACCAATATCATGTGACTTTTAGGTATTCACAGCTTTTTTCTCTGTAGCCACTTCTTAGCAGTAATGAAGTCATTCCCCTGGAATAACTGAGTATTTTCTGTGTAATTCCTGACGAACCTCTTCCCCCCACCCCACAATAATGCACATACTCAGATCCTTGCAATGACTTTAAGGTTAATGTTTTCTTTTTGTATTAGGCTCTATTGCCAGTTCAGATGATAACTTAATAGGTGCAGTTTTATGCACCTATTGTGAGATTAGGGGTGGATTTACTGTGAAGTTAACAGCTTAAGTTCAGGGCCTTGTATTTACATAGACCCCTTCCATGACCTTTTAACTTATTTTGTATTTGTAATTTTGCATTCCTCTTCTTCAAGGGTGTTCCTCTTCCCTGGTGGTACAAGATACACATCCCACAAAACCTAGATCCTCCCTGCATGAATCTCACACCAATATCTGACGATTCTCAAGTGACAGTCTAGGGTTAAATTTAAGTGTGAGGAAATCAGAGAAAATAACTTTAATGTTATATCAATAAATTTAGGATTGATGACATGGCCTGGGGGTTGGGGACCTCTAATGTACTGGGGCAATTGTGTTACAAAGTAGCTACTAGAATTTTTCAAAGCTGTAATATTTGTGGTAGTGAATCAATAAAAAGTTGAAATAGCCATGAGCGATAAAAGGATGAAGTAAAATCTCATAATAAAGTTTTACTGGAACATAGCCATGCTTATTGGTTTACATATTGTCTGCGATGCTTTTGTGCTATGTCAGCAGAGTTGAGTAGTTGTAATACAGATCATATGGCCCATAAAGCCTAAAATATTTACTACCTGGCACTTTACAAGAAAAGTTTTCCAATCCCGTGGTCTTAACTCTGGAAGAATGCATACTGACATGCTAAGGCAGTTGTCTTTGGTGGTTGGAATTATGGTTTTTAAAAAATATTTCGTGAGCAAGTATCTGTGGGTCAAAGTTCTTTTTCAGTCAGATATAGTATTTGAATTTTTAATGTGACCACTAGATGGAGCAGTAGTTACAAGAGACTGTGAGAGAAACAAACCTATTGCACGGCTATAATAAAGACTGCTCTTTGAGTCAAACTGAAATAAAATCCTCTTTATTATTTTCTAGCCCCAATGTGGAGTGCAAAAGTATGAGGTTTGGCATGCTGAAGGACCATCAAGCTGTCACTGGAAACGTCACTGCTTTTGATGGATCCATTCTCTATCTGCCTATTAAGCTTCAACAAGTGAGACCAAATAGGAAATGTACTTTCAGATGAAACCTAAGAGTTTTAAGTGGTGGGAAATCATAGACTTCCTAAACATTTGAGTTGTACTTTCCTATTCTTAGAGGGAAGGCAGACTTCTCCATAACAAAGAGAAGACAGACTGAGAAACTTACATTTGAGTTCTTCATGAAGTCCCTTCTTGCATAAGAGATGGGATTGGAAGCCTTTGACTTAGTGACAAAGGTTTAAGATTTCAAATTCAAAGGGATCTATTGCCAGTTCTCCATTGGGTTTCTTTTACCAAAGGCTGTCTTAAATCTGGTTGTTATGCTGTGATTTTGTCCAGCGTGGGCAGCAAATTGATGGGGAAGTAGAAGACATATTTAAGATATTTTAGTGTTTTCTAGGACACAGTTGGATTAGATTGGAGTTTGGTTGTTTTGGTGTTTCTTTTTACTTGCATATGTTTATTCGTTAGGTTCTTGAGTTAAAAAGTCAAAGGAAAACTGATGGTGCCGAGATCAGCGTTAAGATTCAGTTGACCAAGATCCTGGAGCCCTGTTCTGACTTGTGCATTCCCTTCTACAATGTTGTTTTCCGTCGGTGAGAAAACAGTTGACATCTTATTTTCTTTAACTTCAGTCTTGTGTTTGTAACAGTGCTCTTCAAGACGCTTGGATGGTACTACACTACAGAATGTATATAGAAGAGTTTGGGAACATTTAATAAATAAATGGATGATATTGAGGCTAACTTACTCAAAAGTTATCCCAAGTGATTGACCAGATTTGGGTATGTGAAAGTAGGTGTGAAGTAGTTGGATGGGGGATGGGTTCCTTTGGATTCATTCAGGAACTTTAAGACAGATGTTTATAGTATATACTTATTGGTGCTGGTGATGGGGCTATTTGAAGAGGTAGTTTGTAAAAATTTTGGCTGAGAGAATTTTTCCCCACTCCCTTGAATTTTTAGATACAGACCGCTTATGATTTTTAAACTTTTTTAAAGACTCCCTCATTTTCATAATGTTATTCCCAAACCACTTTTTTTTTTTAATAAAACATAGGACCTAATTTCTACCTAGTAAGTCGAACTACCAAGAATAAACATAACTTCCTATGTCAGACTGATATTCACAAACTTAGAACTTAACTCTCATTTTTTTTTAGTTAATGGTGAAAGTCATGTAAATTGAGACTGGGAAATCAACCCGATTTTTGGTACCTAGTAAGTAGGAAAGCTGCAGTCAGTTGCATATACTTCAAGATAAATGCTGTGGTACATTTTTCTTTTGGCAAGAGTGTTCTCAGGATAAAAGTTATATTGTGCAAAGAGCACTGATGTTTCTGACCTTTCAGGCTTCCAAAGGAAATGTAGCTAAGAGTTATGGAATTGAATTTTTTTGATTCTTCTACTAGAAAACCCATTCTTGCTCTTTATTTCAGGGTAATGAAGCTTTTAGATATGAAGCTCGTGGGGAGAAATTTCTATGACCCAACAAGTGCTATGGTACTGCAGCAACACAGGTCAGTGGTGTTTTTCTCTTCCTCACTTTAGAATATTTTGGAAAGAAATTTTTCATTGCAATCACCATATTTAGGACAAAAATCTCAGCAGTATTTTATGATAGTGAGTACATTTATCAGTTAAATTTATTCCATAGTTTAGTATTTTAGTAAGTTCACATTAGTGTTGATTTAATTTGTTTTCTGGCGCTTTTCTCATTGCTAGTAGGGAGGAGCAGTGTCTGCTCAAATTATTGTTTCAGATGGGGGCATGGAAGGTTCTGTAGTTCTTTTAGAACCCTAATGTAAAGCCCACTTATCTTTTCAGATTGCAGATCTGGCCAGGCTATGCAGCTAGCATCCGGAGGACAGACGGTGGTCTCTTTCTGCTAGCTGATGTCTCCCATAAGGTCATTCGAAATGATTCTGTGCTGGACGTCATGTGAGTGAATGATGGGATCTACTTTAAACAGCTAACTATTTCCTGAAAAGTGCAGTGATAGCTGGTACTAAATACAGATTAGCTATTGTTTTGTTTGGGTTTTAAATTGTAGAACAGATA